CTTTTCTCTTTGGGGGTCTCTCACGTGCCCAAAAAAAATTTACGAAAAATTTCGACTACTCATCGTGAAAACTTAAAGCTTTCCCTACAAAATCATTTTTTGAAAATGTTCCTATAATTTTTTGTTTCTGAGTTATTCGCGAGTTAAGTAAAGAAGCATTCTGATTTCGATTGCTCATAACTCCGATAAAAATCATCATATCGCAATTTAAAAAACAGATTCTTAAAGCTGAAACTTTGCTCTAGCGAATGATATAATCGTAACGAAAATTTCGCAACAAATAAAAAAACTTTTGAAAAATCAATGAAAAAATCCGCACGAACTTTCCGGACCACCCAATATTACAGCGACAAATCGATTCAACTCACAATAATTTTATTAATATTGACAGTAAGAAATTGAAATTATAACATAATATAATACTAATATAACATAAGGCATGTACCAGAGAATAGTTGCGGGAAAATTACCTCTACTCCTTCTATTTTTCCTTATTTCTACGGCATAAATTCCAGCGCGGCATATTTACCGGAGTTATCCTAAATGTAGAGATATGAAAAAACTAATAATTTGCGAAATATTTTATACTTTATTCTGACACATGTTTAAAATGTTAAATATCTCGTAAACTATTAATTTTTTTAATCTTACCTTAACAAGATAAATAATATAATGACACGGCTTAATCAGGTCATTGATTTCACAGATATGATATTTGAGACATTAAGTTATCAATAAATCATCTGTTTTATTTTAGATAAATCTTACTTAATAAAAATCATGTGAATATATGCAAAATGTAAACAGGAGATTTATTAATTAAGATTAAAATTTGAAAGTATACAATTTGTATACTTTAATTTTTTAAATACGTGATTCTCATTAAGACTTAACTTCTCATTATATTTAACGACAAAATAAGGTCATTAATTCAGAGTTAATTTTTTCTTAGTGAAAATTGATTCAATTAAGAATACTTACACTACAGCAACTAGAAAAGGTGTTTGGCCTAAATTTCAGGATCTACATAAATAGATTACGTCAATGCACTTTTCAAGTAATTTTGTTACACTACGTCGAAATTTTTATTTAAATTTTGGTTATAAAGATATATAAAATTAAAAGATTTAGAAGTCCCAATAATTAATAAGTTACTTTGACACTTATTTAAACAAAATCGGCTCCAACTTGATTATTATTCTAATTAAATGTAATTAATAAATTATTAATATTTATACATTATGTATTTTTTTGTATACATATATATATATATATATA